TCAAGCATTTAACCCCAAATATCTCTCATTTAAATTTTCCTTTTTTTTTTTTTTTTTCTTTTGTCCTTTTTCCGTGTCCGGCAACGGATCGCAACCCTCAGTGTTGCCCCCGCACCGGACCGGGGACCGGTAACGGGACCGCAAGCCTCGGCGCTGCTCCCGCGCCTCGCTCAGCCAGTGAGCGGGAACCGGTCCGCATGTGGGATCCGAACCCTCGGGCGGGAGCGCCGCCGCGCTTCCCAAGCGGCGCACCATCCAGTGCGCCACCGGGCCGGCCCGACAACAATTTTAAAGTCTCTAGGTAGATGTGTGGGCTATGAGCTGGACAACCGAGTCAAAGCTGTTTTGATGCAACATACTGGGATTTATCAACAGTGGCTCCAGTCTTGGAGTTATTAGTGGCCTGATGGCACCTATGGAAGGACTCCTGGAAAGTTTATTGGGCAAAGGGCATACAGTCATACATACATCATACAGTGTGTAGATGGAGGTGAACAATAGACCAGTGATTTTCAGAGTGCCTCTATAGGTCCTTTGGTGCTTAAGGCAAGTGCTGACTTGTGCACTGCTTCAGTTTCATGTGCAATTCCAACTAAATTTCTCTGGTTTGGATATAGAGATTCAATTTGCTTTTCTAAAACAAGTGCACTGAGCATCAGCTTCCGACCTTAGATAGGAAAGTCACTGCACAAGGGAAAAGCACTGAAATGTTGGACATATGCTGAGGGCAAAAAGCAATGCTTTTTATTCACTGATGCCTTCTTTCATTTATCCAGCAAGTATTTCCTGAGTATCTGGTACATGCTAGGTGCTGTGGATCTCATAGTAAACAAGACAGGCAGGCCTCATATGCATGCAGTTAAGTGGAGCAGTAAACTTTTTTTTTTTTTTTGACGGCTGTCCAGTAGGTGATCTGAATGCTTGACCTTGGTGTTATAACACCGTGCTCTAACCAACTAAGCTATCTGGCCTCCCAAGCAGTAAACTCTTAAAGGGTACAAGTACCATGTAGTAAAAGGACTGAAGGGAGCATTCCTAAAACTGTCCAAAGGAAGTTATTTTTGTCTCCAAGTTTAACCTTTTCCTTCAGGCATTTCATCTTTTTGAATGAACATCAGCCACTCTTTCCTCTGTATAAGCCTCAGATACATACAGACCTTGGGTCATAGCAGCTCCTCAAAATCCTCTTCACCAGAGGCTTTAAACTATGTAATTACATTTCAGGCCAGTCTCCCCACCCCTAGACACATGACCATGAGATCTTTTTTTATTTTTCCTCCTCTAAGAATAAAGTTTTTAATAATTTTACAAGATGTTTACAAAGAAACAATTCACATTCACGTAAAAATGATATATCTTATACCTATGAACATTCATCAACCATGCAGAATATTCAGGAAACTAGAATCTGAAAGAAAATCTGAGAATTGGGCTGCAGACAAATAAAACTCAAAATTAAACCTTCCCATTCTCACCATATTTCCTTGTCCTGTGTTCAGATTCCTGAGGTCACGAACATCAGCTGTAGCCTCATTGTGTCATTTATCCAGATTGGGAATTCTTCAATAAAAAGTTTGTGCAGCCAGACCATCTGCTTTCAACAGAACCACACTAAAAAGTTTCTAATTTGTATAATCTCACAATATATATCAAATTTCCTTTAAGGGAGAATCAATTTATTGTTATAAACTATTAGAATCTTTACTTTTAGTATATTTCATTTCTTTCTCTTCTCTAAATACATTCCCTTCTAAACCATTTCATCTTCTCCTCCTAAATACTTTCTCTTTTGGAAAATCAAAGTTATATAGTATTATTTTATAAAACTGGGCAAGAAGCATTCCTTATTCATCTTTGTATCCCCTGTGTCTAGCATTATATCTGGCATACAATAAATGTTACTTGAAAGAATGGTTAATATTTTAGAGAAAACATGTTCTTTGGTGTTCTATTATTCATGGTTAAAACAGGCTGGTCTCATTCCTTTGTGTCCCTTTCAATCCCTGACACCACCCTGCATTCATCAACATCAATGCGTTCTATACTTTTTATAGTCTCAGTTGGTATAATGAGCACTGAATTCAAGTTCTGCCAGTAAATAGCTGTCAAATTTGAAGCCAGATACTGAATAATCTCTACATCTCCACTTCTTCAGGTAGAAAATGGGGGCATCAGAATAAATGAGCTCTAAGACAACTTCCAGTTCTTAGAGGGAAGGCTTCAAAAGGTAGAGAAAAAGAATTAGACAGTCAAGTCAGAGTGAGGAAGCCTAATAAAAATGTAATGATCGTAGTACTTTAAAATATTAAATATTTATAAATGTTGATAATTTACTTTCCAAAATTTCTGTCTTGAACACTCATTGGAAGTGTTAAAGAACTTCGAGTGAATACCATGTTTGAGGTATCCCCTAAAACCTTTTTAACTTTTTTTTTTTTTTTTTTTGTGGCAGTTGGTCAGTACAGGGATCTAACCATGGACCTTGGTGTTATCAGCGCCATGCTCTAACCAACTGAGCTAACAGGCCAGTCCTTCCTGGCTATTCTTGCTTATTTATTTCTCCATGTAAATTTTAGAATCAGTTTGTCTGGTTCCTGTAACAACAACAAAACCCTGCTTTGTTTTGTTTTTTTAAATTTTGTTTTTTTAAATCACTGCTAGCCCTTCACCTTGACTTCCTCCATTCCCTACTTTCTTAGTTGCATGTGAAAATAACACTTGGGTTAACCAGTACTTTCTCATTCCAGATGAGGGGAGAAGTTAGAAGTATGCTACACAATGAGAAGTCAAAGCAGGTAAATACTAGCACCCTGCCCACCAAACTGATGAGAATGTAGCTGGTAGATCTTTCCATATCTGTATTTGTTGCATATTTGCTGTCTTCTCCAAGGTTTAGGGGTGGCTGCCCCATGGTGATGACTCATTTCAGTGGCTGAGCAGAGATGACCTGACTCCAAATTGCCTGATAACTGCAGCCCGTTTGCTTGCATGAGGGAGTGTGTGTGTGAGGGGAGTTGAAAAGCCCCACAGCTGTACTCCTACCCTTGTCTCTTCTTGGTCTACCTACCTGTAGCCCTCAGCATGCCCCCCATGCCTCTGGCCTTTAGAACCACCCCTTTTTATAACCTCTGTGCAGTTATAAACAACAGAGTCCCCCTAGGGGCTGGACATGGGGGCCAGGAATCTGGCTCTCAACCCCAGCTCACTTCTGCACTGCGTTCCTGCTCTCACGGGGACTTTTTTCCTTTCTATATTTCTTTTTTTTTTTTTTGGTGGCTGGCCAGTAAGGAGATTAACTTCTGCACTGCGTTCCTGCTCTCACAGGGACTTTTTTCCTTTCTATATTTCTTTTTTTTTTTTTTTGGTGGCTGGCCAGTAAGGAGATCCAAACCCTTGACCTGTACCCTTGACCTTGGTATTACCAGCACCACACTCTCCTACATGATCTAACCAGCCAGCCCTATATTCCCTTTATCTAGGCTGCTGGAGAGATTAGAAAACCCACCATCCCTCGGAAAATATCTAATCCTAGATGTGAAATTGAGGTTTTAATTTGATTTACTTTGTTTGATTAAACTCAGAAGATGAAAAATTCCCAGTAAGTCTAGTAAAGTTCCTGAAAAGAGTCCTCAGAATCCTTAAAAAAAAAAAAAAAGGAATAATTGGAAAAGCCCAAAGTAAGAAAATATCTAATCCTAGATGTGAAATTGAGGTTTTAATTTGATTTACTTTGTTTGATTAAAGTCAGAAGATGAAAAATTCCCAGTAAGTCTAGTAAAGTTCCTGAAAAGAGTCCTCAGAATTCTTAAAAAAAAAAAAAAAAAGGAATAATTGGAAAAGCCCAAAGTAGACTGTCTAGCCAACTCGAAGTGACCTTTGAATGGCCCATGTAAAAGAACAAGTTCCTCTGATTGGCAGGGGGAGGCAGGCACACACATGTGCTCATTTCCACAGCTCAGGACCCTGATGAGCACTAGCCCTTCAACTTTAGATCAAAAGTGGGATGGGGTAATGCTGAGAAGGATTCAATGCAAATTCAGATTGCTCAGACTGGGTCTACCAAAACAATCTGCTCCCTCAGATCTTGAAAGTCTGGATTAAAATGTAATATCCTGTTAGATCACCCCGCCTCAATAAAAACCACTCTGCTTAACGCCCTGTGCATGGCCTGATTTGCTAAGTGTAGATGAGCCCCAGGCACACCCATCTCCAATTCTCCCCTATGAAAGAACATGAGCAGATCCCTTCTGGGCTTAGAAACATAGAATATGTGTGTGACATTTGTAACTCTTGTACCATGGAAATTGGTGACATGCCTGGCAGCCGGTGTTTTCTCTATGAATCTGAGATCTTGTTGTTTGGCCATTGATCTTGCAATAACCTCTGGTTTAGAGGAGAACCTTTTGTAGGAGAACATATAAGGAACTCTCAGTGATTGGCAGTGGTCTCATCTTTACCCACTGAACAGATAATCATCCTGTCCAGCTGGCAGCCCCCGCTAATCTCACTGGAAGGCAAAGGAATTATTAAAAGTCAGAACCTGTGTTCAATTCACTCTTTTCTCCGAGTGCAAGAGGATGGTGGGGATGGGAAAATAGGCCTGGTCCACAAACACAGTGAAGTCCCTATGACTGGGAAAGGATTTCCTTCTCACAGATTCTGCAGATCCCTCTATCATGGCTCTTAGCCTTGCTTGCCTACTGGAATGACCTGGGGAGCTTTAAAAAAAATGGAGGCCCAGGCTCTCTTCCAGAGACTTATGTAATTGGGTTGGAGAGGATCCTGGGCCTTGGGAGATTTTAATAACACCCAGGTGATTCCAATGTGCAGATAATGAGTATCCCCATTTGCCAAGAGGACTAGTGATGAAATCCCATAGCTGTTAGCAGGCTTGCCAGTCCTCTCTGAGTGATAAAATTCCCTGCTGGTTTCTCTGGTCAGTTTAATTCCTTTCTCTCCTAATCTGTAGCTCTGTCACAAACACACCTGTACAGCCTGAGAGCTCTTGATGAGAAAGACCTCACACAGAAGCTGGGAGGTCAGCAGAGGTGCCTTCCTGGTGTAGTGGAAACCCTGATCACACAGCACTCCTGCCATGCCTCAGTAGTGAGCTGGCTGTGGAGGTAGGACACTTGTTGGACTCTGACACCTCTTGTCCTCCTCCAGGCGGGACAAATCTGGGGCTCCATGAAGAGGACAGCTTTCATCCTGGGCTCTGGCCTTCTCTTGTTTGTGGCCTTCTGGAACTCAGTCACATGGTAAGTCTGCTCAGCCCAGCTTTAATCCAGGACCTAGGGCAGTGTGGTTGGTGGTCTGGGGACAGAGCATGGAGTAAGGAGCTGTCTGCCCATCAGTCTTCACCCAGAAACCTGAATTTTTTTTCTTTCTTTTTTTCAAGGAGTTTACCAATTGTGTTTTTTTATTAACATATTCATTATTACAAGTCATATTTATTGTTTAAGCCCCTTATCCAATTTCTCCCCTTCGCCTCCCCTCTCTAATAACCATAGTTTTGTTCTCTTCATCTGACAGATTAACTGTTCCTCTGTTGATCTGTTGCCTAGATGATCTGTCCAGTACTGAGACAGGTGTGATCAAGTCCTCCCCTATTATCATAAAGCAGATGCTTCTTCTATTACTTTGGAGTGTGCTTTGTGGAGAGGACCTCTTCTTTTTTTCTTTTTTTTGTTCTCTGCTGGTGCTTCTCCTTGTGTCAATGCAGTTGAGAGTCTGGCATGCCATCTGCATGGTAGTTGTGACTGCTGCTAAAGACACTAGCTGCTTTTGCAGCAGCCATGGCAACTGCGGTGGCTATGGTGGGCTACCTGCATGGAAATGGTGTTTTTGGTGTGCTCTTTACCTGGATATGGCTGGGTTCGGCTTCCCTCGACTCCACACCTCAGGACTCCGGCTGGGCTGCATTTTTTTTTTCCTCCAAGGCATCTTCAGAGATTTCGGAGAGCTCCTGGCTACTTTTGGCAAGCCCAGTGGGAGAGGCTGCTGTCTACGTTTGAAGGGAAGGAGTGGATCCTCTTCATTATAGGTGAGGTTCCCAGACCCTCAGTGCTTAGGGTTTGGGTACATGATTGTAGCTTAATTGTTTTTCTGTTTTGTTCTCTACTTTGGAACAATGACTTCTCAGTTCATTATTCCAAGGGATGAGGACTTGAAGTGAAGTTCAAGAAAAGTGATAACCCCAAAGAGTACTAAACTTGTGAGCAGTCTGGAAACAGGATGTCTAAGAAAAGAAGCTGAGAAGTTAAGATCTCCTGACAAATATAGAAAAATAAGAAAAGTTTTGTGTAAAAATGAATCCATGTTCCAGCAATAATCCTGCTTCTACATGTAACTCCACAAGCACAGAGAACCACTCTATCTTGTCTGAGACTATGTCCCCTGTACCTTGTACAGTCTAGCTTTCAGTGCTTGACAGCTAGTGGCTACTCAAATATTTACTGATAGTGTGAATGTCTCCAAACAAGCCTAACAAAATATAATAGGAAAAAAACCATTGAAACATAGATATTTATAAGAGCATTATCTATAATAGTGAACGTCCTCAATCATACATTCACTCAAATAATATTTATTAATGTTACTATGCACCAAACTTGTATGGAGGATATAGAAATATTTAAGATGAAGTGTTTGTCAACCTCATTAAAAAACTGTCACATGATTGTCCAGGTACCAAAATGAAAAAGAAAAACAAACTGTCACAGTCTAGAAGGGTCAAGTATCAGTTGTCACAAAGCAAAAGTACAAATAAATGTCCCTGAGGACTGCTTTCAGCTAGGAGAACTCTGAAAATGGGCTGAACATTAAATATGACAGGTTCAATGGAATCTTAAGCAGTCACCAAAAAAACAATGCACATTACAGGTGTATATGGAAAAAGTGATAGGAAAACATTTTATGTACTTACAATGATGTGAAATCTACTTTGGTGATGAGCAAATACCAGAGATAAAATATTTGCAATTTTAAGTGTTAGAGCTTGACGAAAGTTCAATATCATATTGTGGTTTTCATTCTGTATTTCTCAAGGAGCCCTTAGAGTTCCAAGTAGGTGGACACCTTGTTGGATGGCCCACTGGGAAACAACCAACCCAACAGTTTTTTTCCTCAAAATAAAACATACTTCATTATTTCTTTTTCTTTTTTTTTTTTTTAAAAAGATGACCGGTAAGGGGATCTCAACCCTTGACTTGGTGTTGTCAGCACCACGCTCAGCCAGTGAGCTAACCGGCCATCCCTATATGGGATCCGAACCCGGGGCCTTGGTGTTATCAGCACCGCACTCTCCCGAGTGAGCCACGGGCCGGCCCTACTTCATTATTTCTGAGTATAAAAATAAATATGTGCTCATTGCTAAAAATTAAAACGAAGCAATTCAAAGAAACATAGAGAGGATGAAAATCACCCATTCTCCCACCTTCAAGAAATAAGCACTGTTAATATATTAGTGTACATCTCTTGTATATTGGATATATTGCTGTATTTATAAGACAACTATTTTTTAACCCATTTTTTTCCATTGAATGGATTGTAGTCATCTTTCCATGTCGATTAATATGGACTGGAGCTGGCAGGTTATTTCAGTTGGTTAGAACACAGTGTTGATAACACCAAGGTCAAGGGTTTGGACCCCTATACCAGCCAGCTGCCAAAAAAAAAAAAAAAATAGACTTAATGTTTTAAGCTGCCCAGTGTATGCCCTTTTATGGAAATACTCTATTTAGTCTATTCCCTACTAATAGACATTTAGACTGCTTTAAATGTTTTACTGTGATTTTAAGAAAATGCTGCAATGGGACATTTACATGTAACGGACATATATGTGTCCTTTTTTTTCTTTTTCTGTCTCAGTCTCTCTTGCTTTCTTTTCTACTTCAGATACTGACAAATTGCCCTCCAGAAAATCTGTACCAATCATATTCTCCCAGTGCTAGCCAAGTATTTTCCAAGTTCCAGCTACCAGCAGACACTGTGGGCAACAGAGCAGGAAGGGTGCTGGAGGAGGGTACAGAAACAGAGTTAAGTAAAACACTGTCCTTGCCCTTTGGGATTTTGAATCTGGAGGTAAAACATGGGCAAATAAAGAGTTATGAGAGTTAGGTAACACTATAATGTCATTTGAGTAATTGCCAATTGGAGTGGACAAAGTGCTGTTTGTTCACAGTGGTAGATCAGAGATACTTGGAAAGACTCCATGGAAAAGTAGGATGTGGCACAAAAAGCCAAATCTAAATTTTAAGGCTTGATCAGTATTTTCTAAAATATTCTGCAGAACATCAGTGCTGTGGGATGTTAATAGGTGGGGTGGCCATATAATTTATCAACCAGATAGAGATACTGTGAGAGTGAAAAGAGGTGTTATTAAATTATTATGCTGTAATGACAGATGTAAATTGAAAATTGTCCTAGGCAAACAGGGATGCATGACCATCTATTCTTAGGTGTTCTGAGAATACAGTGTTCTAGGGTCAAAGAAGGCTGGGAAAGATTGAGTTTATCAAAGTCAGATAGGTTTCTCTGCTGCAGGAATTCTCAGAGTATGGACCATGACTCTCTGGAAGAGTAAAGTATGAAAACTAACCAAGGTGTTCCTTGAAAGATATTTTCCACTTTGTAAAATGCTGACTAGATGACACCTGAGTCCCAGTGCTCAGTTAGTAAGAAAACAGGGATTAAGTTTCTGACTGACTCCTGGTCCAGTGCTCATTGTGAACCACAGCCCACCAAGTACTGCCTTTGCTTCTCCTTCCTTGGCAATTCATAAAAGGTCCGATGGGCATAGACTCCCAAATGTCAACCTAAATTCATTTCTATTTTATTTTATTTTTTTATTTTTTTAAAAGATGACCGGTAAGGGGATCTTAACCCTTGACTTGGTGTTGTCAGCACCATGCTCACCCATTGAGCTAACCGGACATCCCTATATGGGATCCGAACCCGTGGCCTTGGTGTTATCAGCACCACACTCTCCCGAGTGAGCCACGGGCCGGCCCAGAAAGCACTTTATTGAAGACCTTCTATTTTAGAGAGTATTATATATTTTATATTTTAATACACTTTCTTTTTTTTTTTTTTTTTTTAAAAGATGACCGGTAAGGGGATCTTAACCCTTGACTTGGTGTTGTCAGCACCATGCTCACCCATTGAGCTAACCGGACATCCCTATATGGGATCCGAACCCGTGGCCTTGGTGTTATCAGCACCACACTCTCCGCCACGGGCTGGCCCTTAATACACTTTCATATAGGGGTCTCTAACCACCTTGAAGGTGATCATCCTCATTTTACAGCTAAGAAAATACAGTCCTTAAATGACCTGTCCAAGTTCCTACAGCTAGTTTGTCACCCAGGACTAAGGGTAGGCCCCCTTGTCTCGAGTGCTAAGACCTCCCTGGAAAGGGACTGTGTACGATGCAGCCTCAGTCACCATAAAATGTGTGTTCAGCTAATATGTGCGCTGAGAGAACTTGAAGTCACCCTGATTGTTTCTGCTTTCCAACCTCAGGTGCCTGCCAAGTACCTAGTCTGTTCTTCTGGAGCTTCAATGTGCTCCTCCTGGTGGTCAACACAACTGGAAAACCTAACTTCATCTCCTGCTACCGAATTCACGTTGGCAAGAATGAACCTGTAAGTGTTGCTGCAGTTTCTTCTGGTCAAAGCACAGAAAGCAAGAGCTAAAGTTATACTTTCAGAATTCTCACCACTGGCCCAGGAGAGACCATGGCCATTGTGAGCCAAGTTATTATCTACAAGACTCCCCCAATTTAGAAGGTTAGAGAGAGGAAATCATTTGCCCAAAATCTCAGAGCTACTTGGCTATTAGGCAGTCAAGACTAATATTCTGGTCTCCTGATTCCCAGCCCGGGATCTGTACCTGCCTGTGCCAAGATGGTCATTTTAGGAACAGAAGAGATGGTGTCAGACTGGTACTAGACAGAGTCCCAGATATGTTAGGCAGCTCCCCTTTACCCATGGGAACAGAGACAGCAATGGCTGGACACTAAAATCATGGATAACAGCTATCGTTGTGAGCGAGGGAGAGAGCTGCTGAAACAGAGGATAAACCCACTATCATAGATGGACGGGACAGATTCTGAATGTGAGGGTGGTGGTGGTTTTTAAGGTCCTCCTTTGTAATTATTCAATTTGACCAATAGTGCAAAGTGCTGGGGCAAATCCATGATAAACAAGGCCCACACCCTGCTTATGAGGTACTCCGACTTACACAGCTCCAGGAAGTGAGTCCTGCTGTTCCCTGAGCCTGGCTTGCCTACTTGGCCCTCTGACAACCTCTAGAAACCTTCACTTACACAACAGGGAGGAGTGGATTCTGAAACGCAGTTTCTCTCCCCAGCTCCACCCAAACCACGTCCTGGCTTCTTTCCCAGACAAGACAATCTCTTTTAATCATCTGCAGGTGCCTGGGTGAATCGCCACAGCTCTCAGAACATTCTGTCTCAGCCCACCACTTCAGAAAGGCAGAATGGGTAAAAAAGTGTCTTGACCCTGTCCTTGGGAATGGCTCCTTCCTGAATCAAAGCTGCTAGTCTGGCTCACAGCACCCCTTGCTTGAGATGGGAGCTGCCAGTCAGCCAGGGGGCTTCCTCCAGGCCCAGCTTGGCAGGACATGGACTGGAGCCTAAAGTGTCAAAGCCCTTGAGAACCCTTCATCTGTCAGACCATGGCTGTCTCCTTAGCAGCCACCATTGACTAAATGCTTACATCTTCTAGGCCAAGTGCTGTAATAACCTTCATTGTTCAGATGAGGAAACGGAGGCTTTGAGATGTGACATGGGTAGAACCATGATTCAGCTCAGGCTTTCTGATTCCAGGGCTCACACTCTTAACTACCAGGCTATACCAGCTCTCAAGAATATCACCTACCACCTGTACAACCATACACTCTACAGTGATTGGAGAGCTACATAGGAAAGTCTTGTTGCATTTTGCAGAAGCTTAAGGTTCAGAGACGTGCAGTGACTAGCTCAAAATCAGACTGTTACTTGGAAACAGAGCCAGGGTTTCTCCCCTCTGACTCCAGGTCCAGTGCTCCTATACCGTCTGCACCCTCAGGTGGGAACTAAAATAGGAAAGAACCTCCTGAGGCCATTTAGTCTTTTGCTGTCTCCAGGAAGGACTGACCCCTGTACTAAGACACCAGAAACAAATCCTCAAGTGGGAGCTGAATGCTACCCAGCGTTCATATGATCCATCCCTGGTCTGTTTACTCTCCCACTGTCCTGGGTGACTAGGCTAGTTCACACCTTCTCTCTCCTCAAATCCCTAACATCTCCTCCCCTAACCTTTTTTACAGACAATAGCCTTGCTTCCTACTTCACAAAGAAAATTAAAGCTAGCAAAAGAGAGCTTCACAGACCCATACCACATCGGCCTGCCAAAGGCACCTGTACCCACATGCTCTGCCTTCCCACCTGATGCCACAGGTGAACTCTCCTTGCTCCTGTCTGTACACTGTCTGTGTACTTCACCCATCACCTTTTGTCTGCTCCATGAAATTGCTTCAGCAATTCTCTCTTCTCTTCCTTGTATCTCCTCTCCCCCACTTCCCTCTCACCCCTGTATTATTCCTCTCTGGGTTATTACAAACATGCTGTACTTTTTCCTATCTTAAAAAAAAAAAGTGACACTTGACTCCACTTCCCATATTCCCTACCAGTCATATTTTTGCTCTTTGCAGCAAAGCTCTTTGCAAGATTTGTCTATACAGTTTCCAGTTCCTCCCTGTACAGTCTTATGAAAAATTTTATTTATTTTTTGCAGCTGACCAGTACAGGGATACAAACCCTTGACCTTGATGTTATAATACCATACTCTAACCAACTGAGCTAACCGGCCAGCCTCTTATGAAAAATCTTAAACACATATACAGAAAAGTTAAAAAAAAAGTACAGTTATTACTTATTTACATACCACTTAGATTCACCAATTTTAAATATTTTATAATTATTTATCTATATATAAAAAATATATATGCCTCTATAATTTTTTACTTAACCATTTGAAAGTAAGTTTGACACCTTATAAGACTTCACCCCTAAATCCTTCAGCCTGCATCTCCTAAAATAATCACAAAAACATTGTCTCATCTCTATAAACCTCCTCCTTTACTTTTACCAAAGCACCTATCACCTAATATTTAACATACTTTTATACAATTGTTGTTCCTAGTCTATCTTCCCCACTGGAACATAAATTCCATGAGGGCAGGAATCATTTGTTCATTGCTCTATGTTCAGCATCAAGAACACTGAGTGCTACATATTAGGTGCTCAATAATTATCAGTTAAATGAATGAATAAACAAGTGTGATACACGCCCCCTATTGGTCAAGTTTTCCAGAAGATGTATATGGCTTTATCTGACAGGCTCTCAAACCAGGCTGGCCAGACCTGGCCTCACAATGGGATGGAAGTAAAAAAAAATTAGAGTGAATTCTGAAGTCAGTTAATGCATGCAGTGCCTGGAAAGGCTGGAGGAAGAGGAAGGCCTCAAGCTTGGGGGCCATTCCAAACTCAGCTTCACCTTGGGGCTAAAATCCTTCCAGCTTGCAGAAGAAATTCAGGGAGAAATCCCTTTCAACCAATCCCAAATGAGTTCATCAGGACCCAGGAGATGACCTGTGGTCACAGGGCTGTTCCCTGGAGCCCCAGTGCTCTGACAAAGGGAATGGTTAAAGGGTCACTGATTCTTGGGAGAAATTCTGGCTGTAGTATTGAGGCCAAATGGGGGACAACCAATCCCAAATGAGTTCATCAGGACCCAGGAGATGACCTGTGGTCACAGGGCTGTTCCCTGGAGCCCCAGTGCTCTGACAAAGGGAAGGGTTAAAGGGTCACTGATTCTTGGGAGAAATTCTGGCTGTAGTATTGAGGCCAAATGGGGGATGGGTATTTGGGGCCAGCTCTCTACAGTGGACTCTGGTGGAAATTCTTGGGCAGGCCCCCATCCTAACAGCTCCACCATGAAAACCAGGAAGTTAGTCAAGAGGATAGATCAGCAGCTCCCTGGCTTACTGCCTTCTTTTCTCTGAGCCTAGTCCATTGTGGCTGGACCACATGAGGAGGCAGATGACTTTGATCTCTGTATCCAATCATGGACAAGGTTCTCCTGATGAGGAGGGACTAAAGGGCTGGACTGGGATGTCAACCTGAAAGTTGATAGTCTTCTTCAAGCATCCTGGAGGCTCCCTAAGTTACCTGCCAGGCATACATTGGGCCTGGCCAGAGAAATGGGGAGGAAAGGGGTGATATTTGCAGAACCAGGAGGGAGAAGGTAGGCTCAGGCAGACTGAAGGCTGCTGGAAGGAGTTTCCAAGGGCAGTGGCATTACTCATCCACCTAACAGCCAGGGGCTTATTGTTGCAACATTTCCAACCCCAGGGCCGGTGGCAGTCAGGAGCTGCCAGCAATACCCAGGCATCACTTCCAGGATCCAATTGGAGTAAAGGCCTCCTGTGAGCAGATAACAGTGGACACTTTTTTCTAGGCCCCTACTTCTCACACTCTTGTCCATCTTCCTCCTTCCTTCCCTCAGGCAGGTGGATCCTGTGAAACTACACCAATCTATCCGCACAGTTCTTTTCAACAAGTACGTGATCTCTTTCCTCATGGTGGTCTTTCTCTATCCTTCCCTCAAGTGGTGGAGAGATCCCTGTCGCCGAGAGCTACCTACCTTCCACTGGTTCCTTCTGGAGCTGGCAGTGTTCACCCTGATTGAGGAAGTCCTGGTCTACTATTTACACTGGTGAGCAGGGTCCCTGCCTGAGCACAGCTGGCTCCTCACCCTACTTACTAATGAGGAAACTAAGGCCTCTGAATTGTAGGTGTAGGACCAACACCCCCAGCAACAAGCCTCCCTTTAAATGGTTAACAGGGAGACAATTATCTGTCCCATAACTGACAACTTGGGACAACTGAGGAATGTCCAGAAAAGAGCAAGCTGCTCCATTCGTGTGGGAGGCAGGGCAGTTTCTCATTTATTTCCTTACTGAATCCTTTCTGGGCATCATTCCCTCTCCCTTTTTTTTTTGGTGGCTGGCTGATACAGGCATCCGAACCCTTGACCTTGGTGTTTGTACAATGCTCTAACCAGCTGAGCTAACTAGCCAGCCCCATCATCCCCATTTTATGCCAATACAACTGGGATAGAGAGGAAAAGTAACCCACCCCCAAATTATGCAACATAAGGGTGGGATTGGAAATCACAGGCAGGTCTGATTTCAGTGTTTTCAACTTTGCTCCATAGATGGAACCTATAGTTCTTACCTTTGGTTTCTTGTGATCTAGTGAGGGAGGGAGATAGAGGAATCAGTAGATTATCACCTATTAACTATTTTTCCAGGCTCCTTCACCACCCATCATTCTACAAGAAAATCCACAAGAAACACCATGAATGGACAGCTCCCATTGGTGTAATCTCTATCTACGCCCGCCCTATATGTGGTAAGTAGAATCCCCAGACATTAAGGGCAGATGCCCCCATCACCTTCCCAAAGGTCTCCTGCAGAGAATTAGACCACACTGGCCCTTTCTTTCTTCTTCCCATTAAGTAGCTACCATTTGTTATTGACTTGCCATACGCCAGGCTATGCTAGATGCCTAACACAAGGTATCTCATTTAATTCTTCCAACAACTGTTTAAATCCTGATTTTGCTAATGAGGAATTGAGCCTCAGTTAATAACTCGTCCCAGGTTATAAAGGTGAATGTCTCTAACAAATCAGGGTCCTGAAACTCTTTCAGCTTTTCCAAATCTGAGTCAAGAATGTCTTCCTCTGGTACACCCTGGGGCAAAGTGGACAGCCAGCTGCATCTAAAGGTGAATGTCTCTAACAAATCAGGGTCCTGAAACTCTTTCAGCTTTTCCAGATCTGAGTCAAGAATGTCTTCCTCTGGTACACCCTGGGGCAAAGTGGACAGCCAGCTGCATCCGCTGCATATCTCTGGGCCCTGCCTTCAATCATTCCTCCCCTTGCAGGCCTCCAATATGCTGCCAGTGATTGTGGGTCCCTTAGTAATGGGCTCCCACTTGTCCTCCATCACCATGTGGTTTTCCTTGGTCTTCATCATTTCCACCATTTCCCACTGTGGCTATCACCTACCCTTCCTACCTTCACCTGAATTCCACGACTAGCACCATCTCAAGTAAGACTCCCTCCCATAGTGGGTCCCTGGGCATAATCACCACCCTCACTCCTTGAGCTTCTGGTAGCAGACAACTGGTGTTCCAGTTTAAATGTGGGTGCTAGTGCGGGGAGAGATCTGGAGGTGGAGAAAATAAAGACCACACTTGTTCTTTTGCTTCTTTCTGACATTGGGTCTTCCTGCAAGTGGGGTTTTTTAACCTTTATTTGGGTCCTGGACCCTTTGAGTATCTAATGTAAGCTATGGACATTGTCCTCAGGAAAATGTATATATGCATAAAAATCTTGCATGCAATTCCAGTGGGAGTTGTGCACTCTCTGAAAGTTCCCAGGCTTTTCCAAGTGTGGTCTACAAACCTCCTATGCCAGAATCACTTGAGATGCTTATTTAAAATGCAGCCTCTCAGGCTCTATTCCAAATACGCTGAATCAAAGTATCTGGGGGAGCAGGGCCTGAAAACCTGCATTTTAATTTTGTAAGTGTTCCAGGGGATTCTGAGGCAGATTGTCTCTGAACCAGTCTAGTTCTGCCAGAGGTTCTCTAACTTGTATGCATCAGAATTACATAGTGAGCTTTTTGTTTTGTTTTGTTTTTTTCCTTTTTTTGTCTTTTTTCGTGACCGGCAACGGATCGCAACCCTCAGTGTCGCGCCCGTACCGGACCGGGACCAGCTACGGAATCACAACCCTCGGTGTTGCTCCCGCACCTCGCTCAGCCAGTGAGTGGCCGGTCTGTATGTGGGATCCGAACCCTCGGCGGGAGCGCCGCCGCACTTCCCAAGCGGCGCACTGCAGCAGTGTGCCACCGGGCTGGCCCCCATAGTGAGCTTTTTGAAAGACGACTCCGGTGCTCACTTTGGCAGCACATGTCCTAAACTTGGAACAATACAGAGATTAGCATGGCCCCTGAGCAAAGATGTCCCACAAATTCATTGTGTTCCATATTTTCAGGAAAAAAAAAAAAAAAAAAGACTCTGGATTTTGCAGGTCTGGAGTGGCCGCAGGAAGGTGTGTTTGTAACCGTTCCCCAGGAATTCTGATGCAGATGATCAGGTGGGGCCAGGTGTTGAGTAGGAGGACTGAGAAATATGTGAAAGGCCAGCATGCTTGTAGATTGCACAGGGGCCTCCAGCGCCAGCCTTGCAGCGCCCTCTTCTCTCTTCCAGGTTCGACCAGTGCTTACGGGGTGCTGGGGGTGCTGGACCACCTCCATGGGACTGACACTATGTTTAAGGAGACCAAGGCCTACGAGAGACACATATTCCTGCTGGGCTTCACCCCGCTCTCAGCATCCCTGACTCCCCAAAGAAGATGGAGTGAGAGGGCCCTAGTGCCAGCCTGGCTGTCCCTTTAGCAGTGGGATGCCAAAGTGGTCTGGGCCCTCATGATTGCACCTAAAGACTTGCCTCCTTCAGCCACACACTCTAATGATGGCACCACTAGGATAGAGGGAAAGTCAACTTCACGGAAAAGCAGGGCCAAGCATGGGGCCCGGGCTTCCCCAAAACTGTTGCCCTTTATGTCTCTTAATGGGAGCAGCAGTGTGCTTAAGGAAAAGGAAAAAAACAACTCCCAGACTGAAGGCCAGCCAGAAGGAGGGAACCACTTTGAGAGGGCTCTTGGCAAGTCCCCCTGGTCCTCTACTGTGGAAGGGAAGAGGGGTTCCACCCAGATGACTCCTTCGTAGCCCCAGCAAGATGCAGAGAATGACTAGGTAGCAGCAGGACTGGAAGCTGTGTGGCTCCAAGGAGAGCTCCTCTGGTTGCAGGGGGTGGGAAACCAGATATTGCTTTGCCCTTTCCTGTCCCAAATGGCTTTTGTCATACCCTACTCAGGCCAGGGCCAGGACACCCTGGCAGATGGTTACAGGTATCAGTTCTTAACATGCCAGACACTAGTGCCCATTCACCCCCGCAACACACAGTCAGTGAAAAGGCCTCATTTCAACTCTGCCTCACCACAACCACCTTCCCTCTCTGATAAGAAAAATATCAGTCACAGGAGCTCCTCCCTGGACTAAAACTGAGATACCAAAGAGGTACAGCTCAAATCCCAACATTTTTAGCATTATGTGGAAACCAAAGGCCAAACCCCAAGGAACTGCTACACTGGGGACCCTTTTACCCACAAAGGGAAGGGCCAGAATGCTGTTCTTTGGGGGCACCTAACCAAGGCCCCAATTATCCTATCTGAATCAGGAACCCTCCTATTCCCCCAACAAAAAGCACAGAAAAGACATGGCCAAGCAAAGGGCAAAATCCTTTTTTCCCCAACTTGTTAACCAGTTTTTCTTAACACCACTTGTTCAGAATGATTTTAGCAGAGATACCTTTTTCAAACGTATAACCAGGAACCTTATTAGCTAAAACAAAAACACAGGTGCTTGGGTTGAAGCAGTCCCCACCTGGCCTCCCCTCAGCAGCCAGACAGGGCGAGGAGCCTTGTGGCTCCCAAGAACAATTTGAAGACCACTCACTGTTTTAAAGCCCAACATATTATCATTTACTAGACTCTTACAAATACTTGAACCTATTTCTTTCAGTTCTGTCAAAAAAAACACCACTGTGGTTTTACAAAATACTTTTAATATCTGGTAGGGCCAAGTCTCCAGGCAGGACTATCAAAAAAGCCTTCTTCATAAATGGGCTATAGGACCCTGGAGGACTTGCCCAGTAGGCCAACCAATCACTTAACCAGGCAGCATCTTCCCTGGCCTTCCAAAGCCCTGCCTGCCCGCCCACCTGGCTCCATCCCTAGGAGGGCCTGTGTCCTTAGCTTGAAGTACAGCTTTTGATGCACGATAGCTCTAAGTTCCCACAGCTGCAGGTCTGCACTCATTACCTGTTTCCACAAATCAACATTTGAAAAAAGTCAATCTTCAGTATGCTTAAGGGGAACGGTAGGGGATGAGAATACAGTAGATAAAGAGGAAGGTAAAAGAACAGTTGTGTCCTTTCCCATGTAAAGTCTTTATATTTTGAGGTACTGCAAGGGGCCTAGAGGGGCACAGACTGTCATTCTCTTGTGCCTTTTGGCAGGCAGGTTGGTTGGTCCTTAGCAGAAGGGCCCAGCCCTGTCTATTCTTTAGTGCATCAAACAGAATAGCCCTGAGGTTGGTAAACAATGCTGGTAAAAGGAAAAAAAAAAAAAAAGCCTTAAATTCCCAGCAGAAAATGTGAATGTGAAAAGAGAAAGCATATAAAATAAACTGGTCTCTATTTAATTCCAGTAGATACTTCAGTTTTTTCTGTCTCTGACGAGACTTGTTCTAATACTTATAAAGTCATTCAGGAGCTAAGGGAGTGCAATCAATTAGTGGCTTCTTCCATGAGAATTCCTAACAGGGAATGTTATTTAATTCCAGTAGATACTTCAGTTTTTTCTGTCTCTGACGAGACTTGTTCTAATACTTATAAAGTCATTTAGGAGCTAAGGGAGTGCAATCAATTAGTGGCTTCTTCCATGAGAATTCCTAACAGGGAATGTGTGGAAACAAGGTTGACTTAATTCGACTTCCTGCTCCCAAAGTGCCAATCAGTCTGCAGAAGCCCTGGCCACTGTCTCCTAAACTCTCCTGTGGCCTACCGAGGACATTGGTGGTATTGAAGTACTTGCCACCTGGATAGTGAAAAGGAACTCTCTAGAAAACCACTTCTGACAGAAAGTACTAAGCCTGGGAGACAAACATTTGTCAAATGAATAAGTAAATAAGGGCATGCGCCTCATTTTCAGTTCTGGGAGGGCTCAGTGGTTCACTTGGATTCCATAAAGCCACGGTGCTGAACTGTTACTCTTACGCCCTAATGGAAAAGTGATCAGAGGGACTGTCCAACTCTCCATGAGGAATCTCATCAATTTTTTCTTTCTTGGCTCTTTCTGTACACAATGCCAAGCCACAGCCAGCAGATGGAAAACTTGAGAGCCAGGTAGTGAGCTGAAACCCTGGAATTCTGTTGGACTGGATATCTCTCCCTTTTGTGGCACTGGCTATGGCTCCCATCTCACTTAAGATACAAGGTGGACATGAAATCAAGGCTGACAGCAGCTCTAAAGACCACTGAAGTACTCACCTGGATGCACTAGTAGCCTTAGAAGCTCTGTAAAGGGCCCCCCCTGCCTTAGGCAAACTCCTCAAAAGCCCAGTGGCAGAGCCCCTGCCGAGGTTTCACATGCACATCAGGAGTGCAGGGTTCCTCTGATCTGGGGAACCCCTACTGGGCTCAATCCCCCACATCCAACAGCAGCACCCCAGATAGAAGACCAGTCAGTATTTTGCCTTTTCAAGTTTTTATTTTTATACATTTTTTTTGTATTAAAAAGAAAAGCATAATTACCACAAATTACAAAGGACTAAAGCAGGACTAGAATAATGAATGAATCAATCACTTCAGCCTGGAAAGCAGATACTCTCAATAATATTAACGTTATAATACAAGCTCATTCAAGTATTTTACATTTTTTTTTTGTCCTTATAAATGTGATATCCTAGCACATGGTAAAGATAATGTACTATGAGCGTAAGGTGGAACCTTCTCCACAAAGCCAGATGAGAAGTTTTCCTCTCCAGTGAGAAATAGGCTATAAGTTCTTATCTTCCCTGCCTCTGCCATCAATGTGGCTTAAGGAGAGGGTGGGGGCTGGGAAAAATCCAGGGACCCTTCCCCAGGAGATACTTTGGGGTCCCACTCAGGAGGGTGCCAGATGATTCCGAATACTCTACCTAGGTTTTTGGCAAAAAGCAACCCCCCCACACACACCTTCCCTAGCTAATTGTCTTCCTTGCCCCTCCTCCTCACTTCCAGGGCCTTCTGAGCAGCTTGCTTTCTTTTGTAAAATCAATTATCAGGAAAGGGGGGCAAAAAAAGAGCTACAATGGAACAATACAAAAACATTTTACAACTTTGACATGGGGGCTCAGCACCTCTCTCTGAGCCCCAGGGGTCCAGGCTGGGGCAGAGCAGGATTGCCCTTCTCTACTGGTAGTGCATTTGCTCCCAGGTTCAGGAGAGGGTGAAAAGAGACACCTGCCCCTTAACAGGGCTGAGGCACACAGACCTTCTGATGTTTGATGCCCAATGGCTGTGCTGGCATGCACCAACCTTGGAAGGATATAGAACAGAGGGGTTTGGGCAGCTGTTGCTTTGTGTCTCGGGTCTTATATCCCCATGGGAGGATAGTGGGTGTGAAGTGGTTGGCCCTGATGGCCCCTGCCACTCCTGGCATGCTTGTCACAGATACATCGGTCCTAAATTCAAGTGTCTTCAGAAAGTGAAGATGTAAACTACTCTTTGCAACGTTAACTCCTAACATATAACGAAAAAAAAAAAAGTCCCCCCCCCCCCCCCCCCGCACAAAATCTCCAGGGACAGAAGCTTCATTGGTGAATCCTATCATACACTTCAACACAATAATACCAATTCTTTGTGTGTAATCTCTTTCAAAATATGCAGGCAACAAATATTTTGTTTGATTTTGTAATACAAATAGCCAAGAATATATAACTAAATAACTTGTATAACTAACAAGCCAAAAGGGGAAATAAAATATTGAGAATAATCTATAAAATAAGAAAGAGACCATGGAAAAAGGAACATAGAACACATTGAAGAAATATAAATCAAATTGTAAGACAGTAGATTTAAGCCCAGATACATAAGTGCCACCTCAAAGGGGCTCCCTCTTTCAGGGGTACCTGTGGAGAGGATCAGGGAGAGGATGGCAGCCCCCTGTCCTGGGAATACACTCTAGATTAAGAACAGCCTTTCCCCACACCCCCAAGGCTTCCTTGTGCCTCCAAACCCAGCAGAGGACAAACACTGAGGTTTCTGTGGTGCTGGATACAGTACAAGGCTGAGTAACCCGATGGAAGGAAAGAAAAGGTGAACAGAGATGGAGGAGGGGGTCCAGGAGTCCAGTGTCTGGTACAATGTGGGGCAGGCACCAGACTGGGTAGGGAAAGACCTCAGATCCCACTGTTGGAGCAAAGCCCAGACACTCATCCTTGGTTCGAGACAATAGGGTCACAGAAACTCAGATGGGCTTCCCACATACTAACCACTGGGAAAACAAACGTAGGGGGTGGGCACAGGCTAAAAGCAACAAGGTACCCAAAATAGAGAGCAAGCCCTTGTTGGCCTGGGATACTCTTCTCCTACTCCCAACTTTTTGGCCCAACAGAGGAACCAGTTAAAAAGGAAGGCCAAACAAGTTTCAGTAACTGAGCAACAAGAGCACAAACTTTTCCGTGTTCCCACTGGGGGTGAACACGTAGTCATACCCATCCCCAGCACACATCCCAGTCTGTGTGGGCCAGTCCTTCATCACCCTCCCTAGCTTCTGACGACAGTAGACTCCAGCCATTCCATTGTCATTCACAGCCCAACATAGGCAGGCAGTCAGTGGCTGGAGAAGAGAAGTCAGGTATACTCTATGTCCACATATACCTTCCTGCCACAGGGCTTCCCAACTGGCAGGATTCCCCCAGCCCCCAACTCCTCCTCATCCCTTCGTTCCCAGGCGGGGTCAACTGGAGGGTGGGCAGAGATAGATGGCTTGCAGAAGGGGGATGCAAGAGGGAGAGACCCCACAGACCCTAGGAGGAGAATGGCATCTTTCTCGACCTTTTATGAGAGATGAAGCCCTCCATGAGGTCTCAGAGATCTTTCAGGACAACACAAGAAACATTTCCAAGCCCCAGCTGCCAGGTGTTCACCTTTCCCCTCTGGGGTCGGGGAGACATTTGAGCTGAAAACAAGTGTGTTCCAGATCCAGGCCAACTGTGTTCTCCAACAGTTTGAAGCAAACTTGGCCTTGGGATTCCAAGGGTAGGATAAAGGGTGTCATGGCAGGATGGGGCCTGGCATGAGGCAACAGCAAGCAGAGCAAGGACACAACAATGGCAGCAGTGTACAGACACAGGACGTCAGCTTCAAATGATGCAACAGCAGGGATATTTCGGGAACGGCTATGATACAAGCCGCCCTCAACTCTCTTACCTCCAGGCAGGAGGCATTGTACATGCAACTCAGTCCAGAGAAAGACTCTAGCCAATCCAAGCCCAGGCACATCCAGAGAAGGTGGGAACTCTTCAGGTTGACTCCACCGAGGAAAACAGGCATTTGGGTATTTCAGATTCCCGCTCCACAATAAGGCAACTTTTAAAAAAATATTATTTCCAAGAACAAAACAAAAAAATTCCAAGGGGAGGGGAAAGACATCACTTTCTGTGGATTAGGTGGGGGTTTCTGATTTTATGATCGATTTGTCTTTTTTTTCCCCAGGATGGAAAGGTCAGAGAAAAATAAAATAAATCATCTTTCAATAGTCTTTTCTGGTATGAGCAGCGTCTCTCTGGGCTCGGGAGTATGGGGCGTGGGGAGAGGAGAGAGGCTGAAACCTTCCCCCAACCCCCACACTTTTAGATCCTTTGGTTTCCTTCTCCCAGAAAATGGCAGAAGGGCATGGTGGGGACAGCAGGGAAAGAACATGGTGATGGAAAACCCCAGATGATCAAGGGGCTGGTGCTCCTAGGGCCTGGGGTACTGCAAGAGCCTTCCATGGGACAGTGCTGGGCAATGGGGCCCTCAGGGCCTTCTTATGGGCTGCATAGTTTGCTTGAGGGGGAACAGGAGGAGGCTATGGGTGGGGACCAGGGTTGCAGCCAAATCAGCCACAGGAATGGCTGCAGAGTGATTTTGGTAATCCAGACAAACTATCAATAATTTAAAACTTGATATATATATATATATATATATAAAAAAAAAAAAAATCTCCCCCTTTTCCCTCCCCCCTTAGAAGAAGCTAGGGTGTGAAGTGTCATAGAGAAGGGGAAAGGGTATGTGGAGGCTCCTGCCCAGGGGTACCTCTGATAGCCCAAATGATGTACATGTTGCTACACAGCACGAAGGCCCAAGCTAATAACTCCAGGCCTGTCCTTTCTCTGTCCCCTCTCCTGGGACTGGGCATCCCCATGGACTCTTACCCATCCCATCCCTTTACCCCCCTCTAACCCCAGGACTAAAGGGGCTTTTCACTTTCCCAAAGTCTGTGTGTCCGAGTGCTGGCTTGTCCATTTGGCATCTTCCCGGATAGGCTGGCCGGTGGGTGGTGTAGGGGGTTGGCTGATCATGGTAGCAGGCCTGCTGGAAGACTGGGAGGGACACCGCTTCCTGCTCTCACCGCCACCACCTCCTGCTACCACTGGGTGTCGCTTGTGGTTGCCCT